TAATACAAAGTTTCCATGTAAAAGGACTCACTACAAAGCTAAAAACTTCAATGAGAGAATGATTAATACAGAGATGTGTCTACATCGGCTGCAGGGAGACACCTCTGCCTGCCTCCACCCCTCTCCTCCAGAGTCTACAGCCCCATTGCAAAGCGGGGGAGTGGAAGGAAAGAGGCTGAGGCCCATCAACGGGACTGAAGCAGTCATGAGCAAGCCATGCCCGGGAGCCATTCTCCTGTCCATTGCTGGTGCGGTGTTGCGTCAGGCACGCTGAAATGCAGTCACCTCTAGATGGGCTGGACAGCTGTTTAACACCTGCTCAAGGTTTCAGACAGGGGACAGTGTGGGCTGCCTTCCTGCAGAGTCCCCCATCAGAACGACTGTGCCCTCCTGACTGAAGCAGTCATGAGCAAGCCATGCCCGGGAGCCATTCTCCTGTCCATTGCTGGTGCGGTGTTGCGTCAGGCACGCTGAAATGCAGTCACCTCTAGATGGGCTGGACAGCTGTTTAACACCTGCTCAAGGTTTCAGACAGGGGACAGTGTGGGCTGCCTTCCTGCAGAGTCCCCCATCAGAACGACTGTGCCCTCCTAGCTTAGGAAAAGAATAAACAGGAGGATTGGAAATTAACCCACCCAGTCTCACATCCCCTAGGCAGGGAATGAGCCATCTAACTTAAGCCCCAGCTGGAGTATCATGTCCAGTTCTGGGTGCCACATTTCAGGAAACGTGGAGAAACTGGAGAAAGTCCAGAGAAGATCAACACAAATGATGAAAGGTCTAGAGAACATGAGATATGAGGCAAGGCTGAAGAAATTGGCCTTGTTTACCTTGGAAAAGAGAAGACCGAAAAGGGACATGAGAGCAGCTTGCAAGTATCTAAAAGTGTATCATAAGGAGGAGGAAGAAAAATTGTTCTCCTTGGCCTCTGAGGTTAGGATGAGAAACAATGGGCTTAAATTGCAGATATTTAAGAGCAGGTTAGACAGACACCTGTCAGGGATGAGCTAGGGCAACTCAACTTTGGAAGCCCCAGGGGCCACACTGATACTTACAGAACATGCTGAGAGCATCAACTTAAGTGTGGTTGCATATGCAAGCAAATATATACAAATAGCTTCTCTCCCACTGACAGGCATGAATACAAAGATTAAGGCAAGACTGACCGTGGTGTTTTACGGTGTGTTCTGGGATGTCCTCAGCCCGGACATTGTGAGCATATGGGCCAAGACTTTAGAGCGAGGGGTTCTCTCTTTATCATGCAGGTGAGCTGTGCTTGCCTTGCTGGCTAAGAAGGGAGACCTCCAGTACCTGAGGAATTGGCGTCCTATCTCACTCCTCAGCACGGACCATACAATCATCACCAAAGCCATCTCCTTAAGGCTGAAGTGTGTGCTGGTGGGCGTGGTCCATCCATACCATACCTACACCATCCTGGGCTGTACCATCTTCAACAACCTTTAACTGGTCTGGGATCTCCTAGAGATTGGGTGGTGAGATGGTCTGTCATTAGCCCTCCTCTCCTTGGATCAGGAGAAAGTGTTCGACCACATGGACCACGGGTACCTCCTGGGCACCCTGCAGGCCTTTGGCTTCGGGCCCCACTTTCTGGGTTTCTCAAGGTGCTGTACGCCTCCGCGGAGTGTCTGATCAACCTCAACTGGACCCTGACCACACAGGTCACCTTCGGGTGGGGAGTGCATCAAGGCTGTCTGCTGTCAGGTCAGCTGTGTACTCTGGCCATGGAGCCCATCCTCTGTCTCCTTCAAAAGAGGTTGATGGGTTTGGTGCTCCATGAGCCAGAGATGTGGCTGGTCCTGTCAGCGTACACCAATGATGTGCTCCTTATGGTCCAGAGCCCAGGCGACTTGGTGCGGGTGGAGGCTTGCCAAGCCATCTACTCGGCGGCCTCCTCCGCCCACTGGTTGGGGATGAGTGATAGGCAGGCTCCCTCGCATCCATGCATCAGGCCATCAGGTGAAGCATGGGTCTGCTGCCCTATCCTGGTGTTTTCTTTTCTGAGACGCATTCACTCCTCGCCAGAGAACTGGCAAGGTTTAGAGTCCAGGATGACTGAGCAGTTGCGGAGATGTATGGGACTGCTCCGGTGGTTCTCCCTGCGTGAGAGGTTACTGGTGCTTAACCAACTGGTCCTGTCCATGTTCTGGCACCGTCTCAGCACCCTGGTCCCGCCCCTGGTTTTCCTGGCTCAGATCCAGCAACTGCTGCTGCGGTTCTTCTGGCCAGGACTGCACTGGGTCTCTGCAGGGATTCTCCATCTCCCCCTGGAGGAAGGAGGGGAGGGCCTGACATGTTTGCACAGCGTGTTGTCAACCTGTGGAACTCCTTGCCAGAGGAGGCGGTGAAGGCTAGGACTATAACAGAGTTTAAAGAGAAGCTGGATAAATTCATGGAGGTTAGGTCCATAAAAGGCTATTAGCCAGGGGATAAAATGGTGTCCCTGGCCTCTGCTTGTCAGAGGCTGGAGAGGGATGGCAGGAGACAAATCGCTTGATCATTGTCTTCGGTCCACCCTCTCTGGGGCACCTGGTGCTGGCCACTGTAGGCAGACAGGATACTGGGCTAGATGGACCTTTGGTCTGACCCAGTACGGCCGTTCTTATGTTCTTATGTGGTTCTGTGTCCTCTGCCTCCAGGCCCTGCAGAGGCTCCTAGGCTCCTATTTGATGCAAGCAGTCCGGCGGGAGCATTCTGGCGTACACTTTCCCTCGGCCCCT